CCTGATGGAAGGTTTGGGGGTTTTTTAAGCAAAAAATTGTTTTCATTTAGCTTTACTAAACTCTAAATTGGAGTGTAAAGACAGGCTGGCATTTTATATAATATGCAAATAATATGTTAAAAGAAAAAGGGACTGACCACAGGTTCAATTTTGTTCACATATTTTATATAAAACTATACTGCATATTAACTACGCATTTCCTTTTCATTTGCAGCCTTCATCGTTTAACAGAAGCCATGGCCACATCCCCAACCAAGGCCATCTGCTCAGCAATAGTAAAAGAACTGCCCCATCTTGGGATCTTGTTGAACTCATCTCTGCTCCCAATGAGGACACAGATTCTTTTATCTGCAGCTGGCCAAGAAACTTCAGTAGAATCCCTATTTACAAACTAATTGAGGAGTTCGTAAAATTTAACATCTCAGAATTACAGCAGGCAGTTTAAAAGTTGCAGTATGACACACTGCATTGCTTTTTTCTCGTCCTCCATACCACCACGAAGTGATTTCCAATGCATCAAAGGCAATGGAACATAAAGAGATGTTGACTTGTTTTTAATCAATATCACTTTCGTTATATACTTTTTTTTTCCTGTGAGGAAAAATGCTCTGAATAACTGGTTGTTCATAAGACTGCTGCTCATAAAAATAGAGATTTTACTGTATAGCCTTTCCTCTCAGATGTGGACAACAAAACACAACTGCCGGCCTTTAAGGGTGTGATAGATCTATGAGAATGTTACTTCCAGCATTAGCTGTCAATTCACTGATTGCAATTCCAGAAGTTGATTACCAACTATAATAACCTAGATGGTTTAGGACCTCAAAGATTTCCTCTCTCATATATCTTGCTGTGAAAATTAAGGCTCTAACTCGGAAGCTGTTCTGTGTACATGGATCCCTGTGTGACATCCCGGCTCGCCCTTATTCATCCCTGTTATATAATTAGGATATGTTTTGCACAAGGTACATGTGACATATCACCCTAAAAGTCTTAATCTGCAAGACATGAATATCAGGTTGGATTGTATATGCTATCCTAGTATGTGAAGTTAAGCTAGGTTATGTGTCACTGAAACATGTTGTGAGGTTGAGAACACCCATAAGCAGGTTTTCAGGTACAACGGTAAAAAGGCCAAACAATGTTTATGGCTAATTGAGGAAATGCACATAAGCACAAGGATTACCCAAGGAACTGTGTACAACAGAAACCTCTCAGAGATAGCACTATACACTGGGAATGTTTGACCCAGGTCACAGCAAAAGAGCTTTCCAGCTAGTGGGAAGAAAATATAAAAGGGGGAAATGACATGATGGTACCTCACTCTCTCTACAACACCACACCTGGAAACACCTGAGGAACAAAGACTGAACTGGGGGAAGTGATGGTCCCAGGCTAAAGGGATTTCTAGCCTGTGAATGAAAACCTGGGAAACCCAAGGTGCAAAGCCAAGGCAGCTTGTGCCTTAAGAATCTGCCAGCCTATTTATCACTCAGGGTGAGAATTTGTTAATTCATATCCTACCTACCTAGCATGTTAAGTTCAGTTTGCGGTTTTGTTTATTTACTAGGTAATCTGCTTTGATCTGTTTGCGATCACTTATAATCACTTAAAATCGATCCTTTTGTAGTTAATAAACGTATTTTATCTTTTAATCCAAACCAGCGTGCGTTTGACTAAGATGTCTGGGGAAAATCTCAGCTTGGTTACCCTTTTCACACTGAGGGAGAGGCGGACCAGGTGTTAAGCTCATATACTGGCCAGATTTGACCAGGGCAGGATGGTACTGCTCTGGGGTCCCAAGCTGGGAGGCTGGTGGTTAGAGAACCTTGCACGTGACTGCAGCTGGTTGTGTCCCTACCTGTGTGAATGCTGGTGAAAGTGCAAGCCTGGAGGGCTTTGCAACTTGTCACAGCAGCACAGTGTGAGGGGGAGCCCAGGCTGGTGGGTCAGAGGGCTCAGTGGTACCCTAGTTCCAAGTGGCACCCTGGGGGGAACCCATCACACCCTGTGATGTCAACAGGACTATGCATAGGTTCAAGGGTCCATGCAGGCAGGGCAGAAATGCTGTATCCATCAATTCCCACGGTTGAGCTTGCAGAAGTCACCCAGTAATATGCACCCTCACTAGTAACTCCTTGCTTTGGAATTCATTCCAGCTGGAAATCGGTGTCTGACCAACTTTTAGAGCAAAATACAAAGTGCATCTTTGATCAGGCTTGTAGGGTTAGAAACCCATTATTAGTTAGATTCCTGGGTGGCGAGCTTCAAAAATCTTACCCTGTTAGGCAAAATGGTTCAGTAGCTTGCGGTCCACCTGCAAATTTACTTGCATGACTGGGGTCTCAAAAGCGGCTGGTGCTTCAGAGGAAAACTTTGTGTAGCTGCACTGAAGTCAATAAGTATTGCACAGATGCAAGAGCCTGTCCACGTGGATGCGCCAGGACCTTAGAATTTTGTGTATCCTCAATTTGTTCACACAACTCCTTATGATGGCTGAGAGGGTGTGGACCTCTTCAATATAAAAATTTTATTAGAGCTTATGTTAAAATTATATAATACACAGGTTAAGAAAGGAGTGTCTATACATCTGGGTATAGTGCTTAAATTGTCCAAAAGTACAAAATTTGGTTTGAAAGTCATAAGATACATATAGTACGTAATCTGCAGTATCCCAAATTAAGGTCAATAAATTCAGTAATACAGTTAAAGTATTAGCATCTAAATATTCGGGTACATCACTCATAGGTTATGCTTGTGGAAAGCAAATATAGCAATGAGTGAAAATTGTCCCTCACTAATTGAGAATTTAGGATAGGTTGTCCCTTAGAAAATACAATCCATCAGGGAAGTATTTCAGTTACTTTCCTGAATTTGCTGCTCTCCAACAAAAAGAGAGGACACTAGGTTGTCTGTTAACGGAGTATGCCCAAGCCTGCCACATACATAAAATTCATCTAAACCATACCTAGGGCAAACCTCTCTTTTATAGAGTGGGGTTTTTGTAGTTCCTGAACATACGGTATTCACTTTAATACATTAATGAATATAGTGAGCTATAGTATTGTTGGAACCAAATCTTAATCTTCTAACCTAAGTGTGCTTAAACCCAATCACAACACTGCATGAAGGTAATTTACAAATATTGATTTCCAGGGTATTTTTTAAAGAAAAGAATGAGTTTTGATTGATGACACTTTCAGAAGATCCATATACTACTGAAGTTATTTGAATACAAGATTTAAAAATCAAATAAATGTACTAAAAACACTTGATTGTGCAGTTATTCGTCTGGCACACTTTTGGGGGGCTATATAGGTAATAATAATAAAAGAAATAACTACAGCTCTAGTGCAGTTAATTTTGCAAGGAAATTAAAGTGTACATGCTGAGTGTGCTATTTTCACTGGTTTATAGCTTATTTCTCAACTGATTACATTCACACTTGTGGAGAAAGGGAAGATATGGGACAAGTGCCTGTGGACTACTTCTTGTACCAAGCTGGAACTTTTAAAGTAAAAACATTAGTTACTCTTGTGCATGAAAGCACCCAAACAATTTGTAATAGCTCAAACAAGCACAATTATTTTTAATTAGGTAACTGACAAAAGGGAAAAAAATGTTTCTTCCTCAAACAGCACCCTCCCAAAGCTACAGCAAAATGACACACTTCAGGGATGAGAACATGCATAAGACATTTCAGCTCAAAGAGAAGTTTTCCATAAAGTTTTTTAAGAAACTGAAAAAAGGGGCTTGAAATGAAAGTTAGCACTACAGCTCTACTAGAACATAGAGAACCCCAATATGAGAAGGAGGTTAAGGCCAAACAACAACTCAGTTCACACCAGTGAAAGTTTTCTTTGAGCAGGTCTGCAATATAGTGATTGAAGTCTGCCTTCTTGCTGCCCCTGAGGAAAGAGCAGGACATACAGTTCTGGGAACTACTACCACAGAGAGACTCTAAGTGCTTGTCTATACTTACCGTGCTGGTTCGGCAGCAGGCAATCGAACTTCTGGGTTCGATTTATCGCGTCTTGTCTGGACGCGATAAATTGAACCCAGAAGTGCTCGCCGTCGACTCCGGTAATCCTGCTCGGCGCGAGGAGTACGCGGAGTCGACGGGGGAGCCTGCCTGCCGCGTCTGGACCGCGGTAAGTTCGAACTAAGGTACGTCGACTTCAGCTACGTTATTCACGTAGCTGAAGTTGCATACCTTAGTTCGAATTGGGGGGTTAGTGTAGACCAGGCCTAAGTAGAAAAACGAAAGGAGAAATGGTGTCTTCCCTCTGACCACATATAAAGTGGTGCAATTTACCCTTACTTCAGGATCATCCACGAAAGCTTCCAGAACTGATGTAACAGTAGGAGGCCCTTTCAACTGAAATACATACCCCCCCACCCATTTAATTTCTGCTCCTGGTGCTAACCCTAGCAAACACGGTAAGCACATATCTCTGAAGGAAATGAAGATCATCAAACTGAAAGATCCAGAGCAATTTTTAGGGAGCAGCTCTCCACAGGGTTTTTATTCATGGCACAAAAATCACATCTGTGTGTCACAGCGCAGGATGCTGCAGGACATCACTGTTGAAATAGGGGGAAAGGGCAGCAACCGACACGACACTAGACAACAAAAAAAGGGAGCTGAGTGGTCACCTCCCCACTCTACTACATCCCTGAGTCCATCAACCACAACCCCACCTACCCTCGACACTTTCCCACATCTCCTACTCCCCCACCACCCCGACACTATTTCTCCCACACGGGTCCCATCTCCTCCTCCCTTCCCCCCCCCCCCCCCCCCCCCCCCCCCCCCCCCCCCCAGGGCCCCCATCTCTTCCCTACTCCCACCAGCTCCCCCCAACTCCGTATTCCCCCCGCCAGAGCCCCCATCTCACCCCGACACTCTCCCCTGCAATGCCCCCATCGATATGCGCCTCACCAGTATCCCCCGGCCGGCTCCTCCCTGGCAGCCCCCACCCCCGCCAGGCCCCGCGTACCTGCGCCGAGGAGAGCAGGCCCCGGGGGCGCAGCGGGGGCCTGGCTGACCGGGATGAAGGGCACAGTGAAATTGAACTCGGTAGCCGAGGAGGAGAAGAGCAGGTTGGTGCCGCTAGCGGAACCAGGCCCGGGCGGTTTCGTGGCGGCCATAGCTGCGGCTCTTCCACGTCTCCTCCCCGGGCAGCGGGAGCAGCCAGCCCGGCCCTTTCCGCCCGTAGCGCTGCCCGGCTCCAAGATGGCGGCGCCGGGACCCGCCCGCGCCTCACGCCGCAGCGTCAGGGGGAGAGGGGCGGGGCCGAGCCGGCCGCCGCCATTGCCGCCGCGGGAGGCAGCCTGGGCAGGAAGTTCGGGACCCATCTCCGGGAGCGGGCGAGCGCGTGGCTACGGCGGGACGCAGGGCCCCATCTCCGGGAGCGGCAGGTCTGGGGAGTCCCGCCTCGCGCCTGCCCCGGCCCGCGCGGAGCCGCCCGCCTCGTCCGCAAGATGCCGTGTGTGGCCGACTGGCTGAACAGCCCCCTCAGCATCGTGCAGGGCATCTTCGGTGAGAGCCGGGCGGGGCGCCGCGGCTGCCGGGGGAAGATACAGCGGGGCGGGTCAGGGCTGGGCTCGGGGGAGGGAGCGCTGAATAATGGGGCGCCCAGGGCGGCTGTGGGGAGGGGAATCAGTGGGTGAGCGCCGGGCCGGGGATGTGGGGGAGTTGGGCCCCGAGGGGGGCCATGGTCACCTGGGGGAGCGGCAGTGGGGGGCGAGCTGCGGGGATTGGGGCGACTCTGCCCGCTTGGCGGGGCTCGGGGCGGTCTGTCGGCGCCCGGAAGGAGTCGAGTAACCCAGCCAGGGAGGGCAGGGGCCAAGCCGGCTGCAGCGATGGGTGTTTCTGGTGCAAGACCAAGTCTGGAAGCGGTTACAACACTGAGGTGCAGAATCGTGGTGGGGACTGTTTCGTGCCTTAAAATAACCAGAAATAGAGAAGTTGGGCAAGGGGCATGTTGGGGAAGGGGTGTTAAAAGTTCCGGGCTAGAAATGTTGTGTGGGAGAGTTGCTGTCTGTAGCTAAAGGGCTGTCAGGCAGCCGAGACAGCCTGCGTGAGACCGATTTCCAAAACGTCTCCTAACACAGCAAAATTATCTTCTCACCAAAGACTTTAAATACTACTTTCAATGAAGGAGTCTCCTTCCTAATGAGAGACCTGACAGGGCAAGACATGCACATTCACTTGTGCCCGATATGTGAATACACCATTACTTACAACAGTCTGTTTCTTTTGCATTAATAATCCCACTTTGCAACAATTCCTCCTCTCACCAAAAAAGTCTCAAACTTACTCTGAAAAGATGCATTTGGAATGCAGTTTCTTCATGTTTATGTCTTGAATGAAACCTTTATAATGTTGAAAAAAGTATCGCAAGAGTAAGACAGTTCATGAGTGCTGATAGGAAGCAATGGCTGAAGTTCCTGAATCTGAGTCTGTTGTAATACTCCCCAAATTCTACCGTGGGCTCATCTCGTGGGGAAGGAGGAGGGATGCCTTTACCATACAGGAAAATAGGGCTATGCAATATAAAACTTTGCTGAAGAAGCAACTCAGGAAATCATTGGATACTAGGAGATATTTAGAGTGTGTACCAAGGTGAGGAGTGAGGGCAGCTAGAAGTAAAAAGGAATAATGAAGGCAGCTGAGGTGGCCTAGAAAGAATCTAATTTAATTAACCTTCCTAATGAGGTGCATGTACATCATGTATAATCTGGGACCCTGTCTACACTGGACTCCAATTTAAGAAGTTATGCTTGTAATTATGGCCCAGCTAAGAAGGTATGTGTAACAGTTGAGTGAGCTAGTATGGACAGAGCCAAAGCATGTTAGGTGTTTCTTAAAATGTATTCTTGTCTAGAATTATAAACATTGTTCTAATAAGCTCTAGCACCAGCCAATCAGTGTTAGAAACTGCATTTTGAAAAATGATACTTAAGCTCTGTTGTTTGCCCAGCACTGCAAAGACCTTAAAATGAGGCAAAATTCCTATGAGGTTATATCCCCCTGCTGGTATCGGGTATATAGTTCTCAACTACCAGTACCACTACTTAAGGACGTACCAATGAAGCTCTTGATTTTAACCAAAACATAATTCCTTTTTTCTTAATGACTGGAATAGGAGCTTGTGCAGAAATAAACACTTCCCAAAAGTATGATCATGCATGCACAGTAAGTAGAAAGGGTAACAGATAATCCCCCATCTCTTCCCAATGGTCTCTAGTGTATTTGAAATCCATCTGTGCTTTTCCCCACCTACACAGTGGCTATATTTTCCTTATCTCTCTGTTAAGGTTGTAACAGAAAGATGAGAGGAGACAAATGGCATCAAGGTTGTTATAATGTACATTTGTGTAGGGATAAAGTCCCATTAAAAATCAGTTCACATCAGCAGATTCAAAATGAGTGTCAGATTGCTCATAGTGTTGTCAGAGTGCTGAATAAAAGTCCAGTGTACTGTACTATTGCTATTATTAATGCAGTTTGTTTTCTAGCTCAAAATGGTCCAAGTCCTGACTGGGAGAAGAAAGTAACTGAATACTTTACAGAGAAGCTAAAAGAAAATAATGCAACTAACTGGGTAAAATTAATTGAATTATTTGGAGTTTTTTCCCCATCTTTCCAACTCCTGCCTTCTTGTTCCTCTATTATAGTGACTTACTGTTTTTTGGCAAGTGTGTCCTTTAGAAATGCATTCGTGGAACTTGCTCATACTTATCTGAAACGGACACTGTTGAGATTCTAGGCCAAAAAATTGGTGTATATTAAAGTTATTTAAATGTGAAAAACTGGTACACAAAGCAAAATATGTAAGGGTCTGATCCCAAGTGTGTTGAAGTCAATGGAAGTGATTTCAGTGCACTTTGAATCAGGACCTAAACTGCTGAATGCCACCTAAATATGCTCCATTAGGTGGCAGTAGCTGACAAATGCTATCCTTTGTTGTATTTGTATAGGTATTAAAATCTGCCCTGCCTACTTGTAAATTGGAGATACATTTTTGTACTCCAAATGTTTGTGGTTTCCTGCAACATAGCATCTGATCATGATCTGTTACTGCAATACTTGACCCTTCAACTGATTGGAGAACCAGCTGTTATGACCACTGCCTTTCACTTTGGTTAGGTAAAAAAATAATTCACACCTCCCACTAACTGCACCCTCTTGTGCCATCCAAATTCCTACGCTGTATTTGGAAATCTGATTACTACATTCTCCTCATCTGCAAATGTAAGGTGCAATACAACTTGATTCCTCAGAGTATGGTTCTACTCTGAAAGGTGACTAAAATCGATACTACTTCTATATTTATTGGCCCTCAAGAACTTTCAGGTCAAATCTGCCCACTTGAATGATAGAAAAGATACTTTTCCCAGCCTGGAATCTGAAAATAGTTACTTTACTGTCTTATGCATCAAAAGATTTTGCAATTCAAAGTTAGTGAACAATTTTCTTGATAATACACAAGAAGGAACAGAATTCTTTCTCTCTCTTTCTCTATGTTGGTCCAGTAGAGTGAATATAGTAAAAGGATTAAAAGTAGTAAAATCTTATTTGCTTATTTTAAAGCAAGCAGGTCTGATTCAAAATAAACACCAGGCTTGATGTTTAGTACCATGTTTTACATGGTAACTTTTCTGATTATAACCATATTTTAATATGGTTACTTTTCCCCAATCTGGCAATCCATCCAAAACCTGATTTTTTTCAAAATCAAATAGACTTCCCGTATAGCTTGTGCTGCTGTCATTCAAGTCATGTGGAATTTGGTTTGCCTGGACAACCCATGTTCTTCTCTTTCCCATTGCCATGTCCTCCCATATGGAAAAGCCTCCCTTACCTTAAAGGAACCCTGTGTTTTGGCTGCCTTTTCTTGGCCATTTGGAATTGTGGATGTTTTGATAATCAGAAGTGTTGTATGCAGTATCTTACTTGTTTTTGCAGTGACATGGCTGTATTCCCTTCATGTTTCCCATTACTCAGAGTTGTGCTTTTCCCCTATGAAAATGAATAAAAATATTTTTTGTAAAAAACCTTCTGCGTGATAGGTGCATCCCGCAGTATGTGAAACTTTATACTTGTGTTGCTTAAAAAAAAAAAAAAAAAAGGCAGCCAGACCTGGTGAGATTGGAAAAACGTCACTGCCTCATGGCATGGGGTGGCCCTGGAGTGTTTCTACTTCAGCTTACCTCTTTTCAGGGCTCCTCAGTAATTTTACTAAGGCTTTCTTGCAGCCAATAACTCTTACCAGGCTAGCTTCTTATCATAAACAAGTCCAAAATCAAGTCCTCAAAGTCCAAAAGTTAAGTCAGTATATTGAAAGTTCATATATTAAAGTTTATGTATTCATCCGTTCCCATACTTCATCAATCCACTCCCAGGTCTTTCTACCTGAAGTCTTCCCTGCTTTGGCAGGCCACTCCCAGCCCTACCTAGCTGGAGTCTTTTCTCCCTTGGTGTCTCAGGGTCTCCTGCAGAATTCTTCTGCTCTCTGCATCCCTCAGCCTCTGCTCTCCTCCTGGTCTCTTGCAACTGAGGCTGCTTCCTTGTCTGTCCCACAGCCTGGTTGGGTCACATGAGCTTCATTTTCCCAACCTAGGGAGGAGAGTTAGCTGTGTCACAGGTAGGGGAGAGACCCATCTCCTTCTAAAGGGCCAGCCTCCCTGTGACAGTGACTTTTTACTATTTTAATTTTCTTATTAAATAAAATTCATTAAGTCTGATGCTTTAGAGGAGCTTCTACAAAGGATAGGTGATTGAAGATAGTGCAGGGATGGAATTAGTGTTATTCCTGAGGGCATTCGGTGCCAAAAAATTAAAAATACTGCACACCATATTTTAAAATTCTGCAAAATTTTGGAAATTTTATTTGTCAAATAAATGTGGTGGCTCCAGCATGGCATTGGGGAGCACAGGCCACTGGCTACACAGGGGTGGGAAATCACTGCAGCTTCCTTCTGCCCTCCCTCTGCCCCTGGGACACAGACTCAGCGGTGAGGCTGCACCCAACCCTGACACAGCACAAGGACCAGACCTGCCCCAGAAACACCCCAGGGCCCTGCCCCTCCCTGCCAGGTGCACCAGGTCTGAGAAGGCAGGATCCAAGTGTGGAGGGGCTTAGTGTGGAGGGAT